GTACCAGAGTAAAGTTTTGTTTATGTTTCAACGTTGAATCGTCCAGACAACTTTAGAGCTACGAATATGCAGATGGATGAGCAATAAGTTCTGGGATGATGCGAAATGGTCTATTTGTTTTACCTCTGAGCTCGATATTATGAATTTTTACAACGAATTGACAGCACTTTAGTACTAGCCAACATCTCAGGTTGTGTTGAAAAAAGATCTCCCTCTATTCTGCTCTACCCGAGCAAGGTCGGTATTCTGACTTAGGTACTTTAGTGATAATCAAAGTCTGGTGATCAGGGATTTTCTGAACAATTTAAATCAAGGCAAATAGGACCAAATTTGGGTACCATAGTCGAAGAGTTTTATTCAACCATCTTGCCGAAAAATAGTCCATTCCCATTATATAAATAGGGAAACAATATAAACAGGCTGAATTTATTCATTTATAATAACATACTACTAAGTGCATACTTAAGTAATACTAATTTGCATATAAATAATTTGTATGAAAACAGTCTGTCTTTCATTCTGGTTTTTTACTCTAACAAGACTGTAGATAGGATCTTGAGTCATCCCAGGTCGTTTAAATTGCCTTAACGGCAGATTATTAATGTTCCAACAATGAAATGTGAAAGCTTTTTAAGGACATATGGGTCGAAATCTTAGTGCAGCCTACTTAGTTTATTATGTGAAATTCACTTTACGTCATCTTAAGCGACTATGGGTGTCCATAGATTCTATTCAATTAAAGATAAAATTATTTTTGCGTTCAGGTGCAGTTGGTTCCATACTGAGGGCCTACCTTAATTGCAACTGAACTAAGTAGATATCAGTTTATAATATACCCAACGGTCAAGCGCAACCTTGAACATTGGTTCGACATTTTAAGGTCTGGCCTAAACGCCAGTAGTGGTGAAGGTATCAACCTACCCAATTAGAAAAGGTATTATAGTCAAATTGATTTATTGCAACTCCGGATCCCAGCCAGATCCCGTAGAAGCCGATCCACAAGATGACTGTGCCCAAAATGGAGGCCAATACTGAGTCTTTAAAGGCTCGTTTGATGTCGTATAGACAGGGACGTCCGTCAGCCAAGCGTTCTGGGTTGATCAAGCGTAGCTCTCTTGCGCCAGAGGCAATGTAGGGTTTGGTGAATTGAGAAAATGAGTAAAAAGATAGTGATTAATGTACGTAGCCCTTTTGACATCCGTTTTAAGCTATTGGAATTCCTGAATCTTATAATAAAATTGAGTTTCCAGGATATTTCCCCAAACACCATATGATGATGATTATAGTAAGATACATGCAGAGCTTGAAATATACATTCTGGTCTGGAGATAAAAATAAATTGGATTTATGAAAATCATACCCATTCACAGAGTTAAATGCTAAAATTAGCATGTGGCGAAAGAAGATAACATCTTTTACGCATGTAAATGCTACTTAAAGTAAAGGTACTTTCAAAATTGATGGCATAAGTGGAGTGAATGTAGCATAGAGGATAATTTTAAAGCTCTGAGTTGTTATGCGAATACGGTATCCTTTGTTAAGCGATGCAAGTGTCGGATTGGGGTGTTTATATCAAACTTTTTCTGATGACAAAACCTGCATTTATTAAATTAATTAAGTCAGTCTCTCAAAATAAATTTTTGAAGCCCTTTTTTCGTAAAGATTGCCATGCCGTTGAAGAATTAGGCGAAGACATTAATTAGTTAATATTATCAAATTCACCTGTATTAAAACAGGAAAAAAGGAACTTTTTAAGAATAAGTATTCATATGTGAATATAGCCTGGCCCGCTCTAAAGACTTTAAAGGTATCGAGGTTGTGATAGCGACCCTTTTTTAGGGTTTCTTTGAGACATTTTAGTGATTTTAGCCATCAGAACTCCATCTAGATGAAGATATAAAAACCAGGATGTTGTAGCCTCTGGCATGGTCGCAGTCTCATTTCGATTTATAGAAGTAGGTTGACCTCGTCAACGCAACTTGGTCTATGTGGTCATGGCGATTTAGTAGAACGCAACTAGTACAAAATCATCTGCCATAATAGTTGTCATGATTGCCGGCATCAACAAGCGCGTTTTTGGAAAAAGGACTCAATTTTTCAATTCAACACACTAGAACTGTCACCAAAGGGCACACATTTTGACGAGTGGAATGTAAAAAAGTGATAGGACAGGAGTGGGATAGGAGGGTAAATAGTATATAGATAGGCCAGGACAGAAAGAGGAGTGATTATGTAATCGTTTTCGGCAGAAGGTTTGTCGAGGGATTGGCTTCGCTTGTATCTTTGACGAGTTCGTAGGTTGGTGCGGCGAATGGCAAAACTCACTGACGATGCCGCCGTTTTCGAATGTACCAAGTCCACTATCTGATGCTGGGAGTCATGACAACTACTTTGACAGACAACTTCGGACTAAGTGCGCTCTACTAAGTCGCCCTGACAACAAGACCAAGTAGAGACAACGGGGTCAACCAACTTCCCTCTAGACAGTTCGTTGATTTACAGATATACCAGTTATGCCGGACTACCCATGGATGGTTAACCCAAAACTGACCAGTTATGTGTGCTCAAGACAATGCACAAGTTTCACAGGGAAGTTTCTAAAGCATACACTTTTCTCATTTTTGCGATCACTTAGTGCGGATTCCAAGCACCTACAGGTTGATTTCCTTTTGGTAATTGGTCGTGTTGCCATACCTGCTATGCTTTATTTTTCGAAGTCTCTGTGACGGTGCAACCAGGTTGTGAAAAAGGGTTCAAGTCAATGCTTTACTTGATGTGCACACATACACACATGTGCATAAATGCACACACATTCTGATGCCGGCTCGTAAAGGGATTTTAGGACAAGGGAACTGGCAAATTATCTTAATTTTTCAGTTCCTCAGGAAAGCCCCCTTTATTTAGTTCATGCAAAAAAATAATCAAAGTAATGTACGGTAGTGCTGAACTTTTTTATTCTTTTCATGATTATCGCAAATAAGGTACCGGAATTGTGAGGCCAAAATGCCTCATTCCGGGGAGCCGATACTTGCACAAATTCTGGGATTAAAGAGGGTTAAATGAAAATGTATGAGGCAAGAAAGAAAACGGCAACCAATTTGGACTAACTTGGCATACACTTCTGGCCATGGTTTCAATGGGTTATCGATGTCTTGTACGCAATCCCAAACGCTATCCGGATTCAGTAATTTTGTTGACCTGTCCCGAGTAGTTAATAGACTGACCACAATGGGGATGGTCAAGCCAAGACCGAAGCAAAAAGCGTTAGACACCAAAAGTACTTGGAGACTGGCTGGGTGGGTGTAAGTTAGTAGATGATTAGAAAAAGAATTTTGAATGTAATTGAAAAAGAGAGAAGTAAGAATGAATAAATGCAATGGATTGACTCCTTTAATGGCTAATAAACTTTTGAACTTCTGAAATCTGAGTGCAATATTCATTTAATCTCAACTAATCCATGCAAATATAGGCAAATTTGTTCGTAAAACCTAGATATTTAAGACAAATTAGCCAAAATTTTGGGACATGTAGCAGAGTTTAGGTGATCAATCTATCCGATCTACTTTTAAAAACTGTTCTTCAGCGCAAGTTGTAAGTTCGTCATCAAAGGGATGGGCTAAAATACGTCTGATATAATTGAAATGTACAGAGTCTTCTCATCTTATACTTAAATCCTCAGACAATCTTTTTTTATTCGGCAAAAAGTTAACATCCTCTGCTAATGTAAATAGCAGCTTTCATTTTTTCAGGGTCTACTCTGCCTCTGTGCGCCATATAACAATTATCTTCTTTAAACTTTATCGCATAATAACCCTAAATTTTCAAAAGTTATTTTCTGAGATCTAAATGAATTATTCCACTTATTTTAAGGGAAATCTTTCATTGGCTTAGGAGACAATTTAAGTATAAATCATATAAATAAATAAACAGTAAATACATATGTTCATAAATAATACTTTAAATAATTGACAGGCCCATGGATTGCTACGGAAGCAAAGTTTTACTTTTGGCGATTAATAAAGTAAATTTTCTTTTCTACGGTTAAAGCAAGAAAGCTCGATTATGGAAGTATGTATAGTAATGAGAAATGAAGCTGATAAAGGTAAATAAAAATAATGATGAGAGAATAATTCAACAGAAATTCGAAAATCAGAGAAATAGTGAAGCACGATCAAAAATAAGAAAAGGGAGTTAAGCTCAGCGGAAAACCATATATAATGTGCTAGAGTAAAGATTTAAGCCAAAAATGATAAGAGAAAGAAGTTACCGAATAAAGAAAGGAGAGGAAGAAGGTAAGAAATAACTTAATGAATAAGTGGGATCCAAAGAAAGCTGGGTTTTATGGAAAAGCGAGATGTAAGTTAAGGAAAATTAGGTTGAACAAAATATTGAAACTCAATTTTAACTTGCAAATGGTATATATAATTAATATATAAAGGAGATATTTAAAGACATATTGATCAAATAGAGCT